AAGAATTAAGTAGAGGCCAATTTATTCAATCTCTTTTAGGTTAGATTCGTACCATCATCCCCGAATATCCAGTCATGGTTCCGGACCACTATGGAGCTAGCGCTCTCCGTGATCGTGAATGGGGTGTAACCTTCATACCCGTGAACGATTAACAAGTTTCTAAAACTTGTTGGCGACTCTTTTATCTCTAGCTTCCTTCCTTTTGGACACAACCATGCTTAAATGCATGATCACAGTGGGGCTCAAGGTTAGGTTTGAAATATTCTCTACAGCGGCGATCCGCGAGATATTTTTTCAGATAGCCCTTTCGGACCATATCCTCATTCTGATCCCTCAGTTGATTATAGTCCTCGGTGTGATGTCCAGGAGACTCATGGAACTCACACCATCGATCTTTATTTTTGTTTTGATGCCACGATGGAAGTGGCCTTGGCTTCTTCCACTTCTCCTCGTTCTTCGTTATGCTATAAATTTTAGCACACGGAAGAGCGAGAGGAGTGTAGGATTTGTATTTCCCAACAAATAGGGTTTTTTCTTTTTTCGGCTCGGTCGTCGAGGACAGTTCTGAGGCTTTCGCCTTCCCTTTCCTCTGACCTTGGCCCTCCGACTGTTGTCCTTTTGCTTTACCAGTCCCAGGCCGGATGTAGTTATCCGAACCATCAAGAGCTTCCTCCAAGGTTTGCGGGGTATGCATGACCATGAAGTCGAGGAACTTTCCAGCCTGTAGCCCACTCCGCAGCACAAAAAACGGCTAGCCCTTGGTCCAAACTTGTAATTCTGGACAACTCGTTGCTGAAGCGAGTCAGATAGTCTCGGAGGCTTTCGTCCTCTCCTTGCTGCAGACTTATCAGCTCTGCAGTTGTTTTCTCTCGGCGATTCGCCGTAGAGAACTTTCTCTTGAACTTGTTGGAAAGATCTTTCCAACCAGTTATCGAACCTTCCTTTAGTCCTTTGGTGATCCACGCTTGTGCAACACCTTTGAGAATAGTTGGAAAGTATTTGCACCAGGTCGCTTCGGACCTGGGATTCAGGTACATGTGCCCCTCGTAAGAGGCATTGTGGTCCTTCGGATCCGAAGTACCATCATAAGTGATGTGTGCCGGGATTTTCACCATCGGCACATGTTCTTCCAGAATCTAGCTCTAGAATGGGGAACTATAGGGAACCATCACTGCCTTCCCCTTGTTCCCAGCCGTTGGGACCTCGTTTCCCCCTCTCAGAGAGGTAGAAGTGGTTTTCGTCCTCGACCGAGATGGTGCAGGGTAAGGTGCAGTACCTTCGGGGTAGGTGAGGCGACTGTGTACGCTCCCCTCCCTAGGGTCGATATGTTCGTGAACGTTTCGGCGAGCAGACTCTTGTCGCGTGGACGCGGTGTTGCTGCTTTTGAAGCTTCGGGGTTCGGATCTCTCGAAGAACTGTGGGTTTCTTTTTCTTTCTCGTTCAGTCCTTCAAGTATCTTTGTCCCAATGCTCGAGCTCCTTAAAAGATGGAACTCGATTTCCCTTCTCTTGCCCTGTTCTCCTCCTTAGGTACCTTGGCTGCTCTATGGAGTCAGCATGTACCGAGGGAGCGGGAGGTGGGAGATGCTAATTCACTTGAGCCTTCATGAAGTCTATAAAGGTAGCGAGGGCTCTTGCCATTTCCTCCGAAGTAGGACCCGTTTGGGGCGTCCCCATTGGACGAGATTGGGAATGGCGGCTAGGAGTTGGATTCCTAGTATTTGACCGGCTCGGCCGTTAAGAGTTGGATGGCTGACCCGTGTTGTGAGGTGACTTGTCCGAGGTAGCATTCCCCGATGAGGTAGCCTCGAAAGATGATGAAGAAGGTGGTCCTTTCTTCAAGGGTGAAGATGGAATTGGGACTTTCTTCGAGGAAGAAGGACCATTCTTTTTGGTGCTCTTGACACTCTTTCCGCTCTTACTCATGTTGCTAAGATGGTGGATTTTTGGCTTGTTTTTGAATGTCCTCCCACAGACGGCGCCAAATTATTTCAGGTGAAAACAATGGGTCCTTCGTCTGGACCTCTCTTGTGGGCTGAAGACTGGACCCGACCCAAGTGATGACTGGGACAAGGGTTTCCTGCACAGCAAACACACGTAAATTGGCCTCGGGGGCTGTGCCGAGGAAGGTCCCTCCGATGCCGAAGCCAGTACAGTGTTTAGAGAAAGAAAGCTATGCAAGAGAATTAATGTTTGAGGCTTGAAGTGAATGAATTGAGAGAGAAAGAAGTCAAGGCTTTTATACCTTACTCAAATAGATAAATTGGGCCTTGAGGTCAAATGGGCTTGCCATGTTGTCCGGGCCTTTGACTGACTCAACATGTATTAGGAGGGTTGAACCTTCTTTTAGGCTTTGTAATTAAATCATTTGTGGACCGGCCCAATTGGAGTAAATTGGACCCAAACAGACTGTATGAGTCTTCTTCCCATCTGTTTGGGTGTCAGTTGTCGTTGTCGTTTCAAATTTTTCTATATAATATTCCCAATTTCCCATGCCATGTGGCTCATGTTATTCTATACCCCCTCGTATATAAATAAGTGAAATGTTTTTATTTTTGGATAGGAGTTCCTTATAAAGGGATTATACCTCAATGTAGTAGAGGCCTTTTAGGTATGACTTTTGTCCTACACCAAAGCAAATTCTTACGGGGTAAGGTTCAAATAGGTCAAAATCTACTAGTGGGTTCTTGTTAACCTGGACGTTAACAAAATGTATAGTTATATATAAAGTGTTAGGGGGATTTTGGGTGATAAATTTTACTTTCCTAAAATACCCCTCTTATTTTTTATTTTCTTATAAAAAATTACAATTTTTTAAAAATATAACTACCATTTTTTGAAAAAAAACATCTTTTCTATTTATTTTATTTTATTTTATTTTTCTGAGAGAAGTCATATCCTACTATTAGCTCCATGGCTTTCATCAATTTCTGAAACCATTAATTTTTTTATAATTAAAATAAGGTTAGTATTTCAGGAAAAAACAAAAAGTAAATCGAACCCTATGGAATTTTTATATTGCACACACAATGTGCATGTGTCTCCTAACTTGTCAATATAGGGGGAAAGCTCACGTATCTTTTGGGGTTGACCATACCCTTATTTCTCCCCTTTATCTCTTACGATTTTCGTTTAATTTGGCGATGAAGCCGCTGAAAATGATGGTGTTGGTGAAGTTCCCATTGAAATGGCTTAAAGAATGAAGAAGGAGACGAAGGAGGAAGAAGATGAAAATGGAGGAAGAAAGAGATGGAGAACAACAATGACGAGATTGATGACGTTAATTGAAGTGTTTTCTCCACCTAGCATTGCTGGGTTGATAATAAATTTTTTAATGGGCTAACCCGGAAACCAAAGCATGTATATTAATATTACAGTACTGGCATGCGATTAACAATCCAGGTCTATCTCTGTTCTAAACATGGGCATCATCCTTAAATATAGGAGTACATACAACTATACAAGTAGAGGAAGCCCCGATTAATTAATTTGATAAGCATAGGTTGGTTTTCATAAGGTAAAATTGTAGCATTTTCGAGTAAATTTGGGTAAAATCGCTAACACCTTGACATCGCTAAGGACGCTAACATCATTAGCAGTTTTAGGGTTAAACCGCTAATGGTATTAGCAGTTTTAGTGTTAAACCGCTAATGGTATTAACAGGTTTTTCCATAGGCGGTTTATTTACGGTGTGAGTTAGCAGTAGTGGTTATCAAGATTATAAACTTGTGTAAAGTATATATTTTCTTGGTACAAGTATGTAATGGTTGTGGACTCATGGTTGTAAAACGGGATAATACCTGTTTATCATCATGATTAACAAAAAAATATTTATTTAGTGACAATTTCGTAAATCAATAACATAATACTAAAACAGACACCAGAAATGACACGTGTCACTTCCTGGTACTGTTTTTTCCCTCTAAATTCCCCCATTCCTTTTTAGGAAAAATCTTTTATTTTTGGAATATTTGCATAATACAACTATAATAGTATATTATTCCTAATCTTATATATTATCTTTATAATATTTGCATTCCTTTTTATTTCGTGTTCTGTTAACTTAAAATAGTTACACAAGATTTTGAGACCTTTTAATTTTTTTTTGAGACCTTTTAATTAATGGAGAATAAGTTATAATTTAGAAGGTTGAAATATAGTGGAGAGTAATATTCCGGAGCCAAAAATACAATATTAACAATTAAATTACCATTATATAGTTGTACAATAGTGGTGTTCAATGGGGAAAAAAAACAAAGAAAACAATTCTAATGATGGTGTTGATTTGAAATCTTATGAAATAATAATATTTTTTTTGGTGTTCCAAACGATTCACCCTTTGGGCTAATCCGGATTCGGGGTCAGTTATGAGTGGTTAGATTCCAGTCCCCTCCCAATTGTTGTTGCGGGGGATCGAATACACAGTCCTCCCTACCAAGTGCAGCCTTAATCACCACTACACCAACAACCAATTGGTAGGTTTCTGTAATAATTTTACCAACTTATAACCTTTTTTCCCTCAAAAAACATATTAACTATTATTAAAAGAGGTCGATGTTAGCTTTAAGTTTTTTTTAAAAAATAGTTATTTTACTTAGCTTATTTTTTGAGAATACATTGTATAGGTTTTTTTTTTTTTTTTAAAAAAAAATAAAAAAAAACTAAACTAATTCATTAAAAAAAACAGTCATACGACATCAACATTGATAGTTTTATTGGGAATAACATGCATCATTAACGTAATATGATGTATACTATTTTTAAATATTTTCAACACAACAAATCAAAAATGATTTTATTTATCAATTGTAGTTTTAAAAAAAATTTGTCTTATTATTTCATTTTTCTTATATGCATTGTATTTGTTTATTACTTTATTTTACATGAATTGCCTTATTTTTATATTATTTCACAAATTAATTAGGAGAAAAAAAGATTATTACTACCGTGCATCGCACATGCACTAATCTAGTAAACCAATAAATTTTGTTAAATGTGGATTTCAAGTGTCGATTTATTTATAAAAATATCATGCTAATTGAGATTTTTTTATTTTTTTTATTTAATTACAGAAATGCTATTAGATAAACGATTTTTGTTTATAATAGAACGCCTCGGAGTCTCAGACCCTTGGTAATACTCAGTAGCTACTTGTACACTGGCACAGTGAACTCTCATACCCTTCATTCCCTCCCTCTTTCGCAACTTCCATTTCAAAAATGTTGGACGCCGTGTCTTCCAATTCATCGCAATTCCGCCTTCAAATTACGCCACCTAACCACCGCCACCACAACCACCGCTGCTCCGCCGCAACCCTCAATTTTCCGAGACGCCGTAATCTCATTGCTTCATCTCTTCCTCCTCCTTCATCTAATTACATTTCTCAGGCTATTTTGTCCCAGAAGTTTCCTGAAGGTTCTCCCTCCTCCGCTAACGACTCCGCTAATCCCCTTCCTAGTATGTCTTCTTTTCCAAATTTTCTGGTTTTTTTTTTTTTTTTTTTTTTTTTTTTTTTTTGTGGGTTTTTAATATTTTTTGGTGGGCTATTCTTAATTTGCTATATTGATTTGATTTTGCTTGTTAATTTATAATTATTTTTACATATTTATGTTGGTGTTGCAGAGCCATTGACGTCCAGTGTTGCTTCAAAATCTGATGGGTCCCGTCTTCGTGTTGCCTACCAGGTATTCTGTCTCTGTATGTGGATGTTTTTAGTTTTAATTTATAATATTTAAATTTTTTATTTATGGTATGTTTTGGAACAAGTGAATTAACAATATAATAACAATGAAATCGTTCCTAAGTCTTACTTGGTCGAAGATGTAGTTAGAGGCTTTAATGTATTAACAATGTAATAACAATGAAATCGTGCCTTGATTCGTAAGTGTTACTTGGTCGAAGATGTATTTAGAGGCTTAAACGCATAGATCATCGTTATTACTTATTAGTAGAGAGTGGTAATGAGCATGAACTGTAAAAAAGCATACTTAACTACTAGTGACAATACAATTCCTTTCCATCAATAATTTGGAAAAAATTAATTTCTTTCATATTTTTATTTATATATTGCTTTATAAATTGTTCATATGGGGTTGATTTTTTTTTTTTATTTTCTTCTCTCTCTTCAAAAAGAAGTCATTGATTGCATTTTTTTGAGATACTGGTGAACATTTGATGTTTTTGAGAGGTTGGTTATGATTCGATTGTGTTTTTGAGAAACTGGTAATGATTTGATTGTATTTCAGAGAAGTTTGGTGATGAATCGATGTGGGAGAATGTCCAATCTTTGTATACACTGGCACTTTATTAATTAGAGTTTTATAGGCTGGTAACTAAACACATCTTAGAGGGGGTGGAAGCTGCCTTTGTTAAAGAGTTTCTTGTTTAGTGTGTCTATGTTTTTCATGTTCTTGTTAACTTTCTCTATTCTCGTTAGTGTGGCATGAAGTTGGAGAGTATGGAGAAATTGGAGAGAGATTTGGTGGTGTGGAAAATGGACCCAAAGAGTTTTCATTGGGTAATGTAGGAAGAAGTTTGTCATTAATAGTACGATACAGATTGGGAGCATTAGAATGTGATGGTAAGTGGTTAGGTTGATGGAGCTAGAAGCTTTCTTGTGCTTTTAATAGTGTAATTTGGAAGTCTTATCATAGCTGATTTGCAAAAAAAATTTAGTTTGTGGTGGGTTTTAAGGTGAATGCTGGGTCTTGGATGATGGTTAAACTTTAAAAAATTGATTTTCACTTCATATAATTAGTTGCATATTTCAAGGATGTTTTTGTGGATTTCTCCTTGGGATGCTTATAAATTGCATGTCTTCCCATATCCTTTTCTGGACTTCTTGGAAGAAGATTCAATCATTAATGCCCTGATTGGATTTCCACAGAGGAATTGTACTTGAAGATGTTGATTTGGTATTTTGGTTTGAGGACAAGACATGTGCTAAGAGTACCACTTTCTTACTTGAAGTGAGTTGTGAAAATATCTTCTTCTAAATTTATTGGAAATTGGCTACCAAAAGATTCATCCTAAGCGTTTTATATACAAGTATATATTTTTTATTAGAAAGCTTCTTTGCGCCAAGCTTTTGGAACGGTTTTGAGGTTGTATCTTTAGTGTCAACTCATTTGTCACATATCTAAGATTACTGCTGTTAATCAGGTTTCTGGAATAAATTTAACTTTTTAGGACACATAGTTAGACTTGAGCTGTTCAACTCCATGCATCAATGTAATGGACTTCATGGCCAATTGATTACAGGTTTCAGAGCTCCTCAACACCTTTATCTATCAAAATCAATACCAACTATTCGTTAATAAATGATCATAACTTATCAACTAGGAAATTAATTTAAATTGATTTACCACTACCACCTGAACAAACAGCTCCTACGTAGATTGGATTACTCATGTAGTCATTTTAATCCATTTCTAGGTGAATTAACTTTAAATCTAACAAAATCAACATTACTATGCAAGAAAAGCCATGCCCAAAGCTTTTAATTCTAATCAAAATTTAATAGCCTTTATATGAGTTTTTGGATCATTTCTTGTTTATCACTTTTCTGTCTCCGTACATAATATGTCATATCAAGAAATTACATTTGTACTGATTTGGTGGGCTGCTGCAACTGTAGGGGGTTAATGGTGCATATAGTGAGCTGGCTGCGGAGACTGCTTATCCGAATTGTGAAGCAGTTCCTTGTGATCAATTTGACACAGCTTTTGAAGTGAGTCTTTCGGCTTATTGATTCTGAAATGATTGCATGCTATACTGCTTTGTTATTGAAAATGAACCAGGTTTTTTTTTTTTACTATAAAGTACATTTATGTTGTTTTATTTAAATATAAAGAGGGATTTCTTACTTGTATGTACTTTGAATATATGCATCTGTGTCTCCATAAATACTTCGCTTTATGTGGAAGTGCTTATTATATGCATGGGAAATACTCTTGTACATCACAAAGAACCTCTCAAGTAGGATGCCAATGCTGTTTGAATATATTAAGTCACCATTGGAATCTATCAATAGGGACTACTGTTGGTGAAATGAGTAAAGTGGGTTTAGTCTTAGCTAGGGTCATACAGTAATAGAACACCTAGATTTGTCCTTGTTTGGTGCTTTCATGTTTTACTTTTCTCTTTGCCTTCCTTCTTGCTGCTTCAAGTATGATATGCCTTGAAATAAGAAAGGTTAGGGGTTGAGTGGGAGTAGACTGATTTTCAAATGTGTCATGTTCTATCCTCTGTTCCTAAATTGGAATTCAATTTTTGGTAATTTTTTTTTAAATTGTTTGTCAAGGTTAAATTTTACGGTTTTTGATGAAAGAATAGAAAATCATGATTTATTTGTTATTACTGTTCCCTTACACTTCAATGAGTTCAACTTTTGATGTGCTATTACTAATTCGATTTAAGGCATAGCTTTATAGTGTTTATGGGTTCAACAAACTGTCTTCTTTTAATGACTTGCGTCCTTTGCTGTAGGCTCTTGAGCGCTGGCTTGTTGATCGAGCAGTTTTACCTATTGAGAATTCTCTTGGGGGTAGCATCCACAGAAATTATGATCTTTTGTTGAGGCACAGGTTGCATATAGTGGGAGAGGTGAAGCTTCCAATTCGGCATTGCTTGTTGGCGAACCCTGGTGTCAAGATTGAAGAATTGAAAAGGGTGTTAAGCCATCCCCAGGTATTTCCCAATACAAATGTGAGGTATCTTAGTTTTTGAAATATGGCTGAATTTAAAAGAAATTTATGTAGGCTCTTGCTCAATGTGAGCACACATTAGCTAAGTTTGGAGTGACCAGAGAAGCTGTGGATGATACTGCTGGTGCAGCAAAGGTGAAATTCTTTCTTTCCCTAGATGAGCCTCTATAGAGTATATAAGGATAAAATATTTATTTGACCTTCATTAATATATACAATGTGTATGTTTTGCTTATAGATATTTCATATAGAGTCACATTTATCTTATATATATGTGCAAATGGCTGTGATGTAAGCAAACTTGGTAAAGGGATTAATTTTCACTTGTTAAATATTTAATGAACAAATATAAATGTGAAGTTTTGGATTGTTATTGTGGAAATTGAAGATGTAAGCAAACATTAGTATTTTAGATTCCCGTGGTTTTCCATAGCTGTTCCATTGGTTTTGCAAGGAATACTATGTGAATCGAAATGCTCCAAATAACTATAAGATTTCCACGCGGGTTGAACAAATTTATTCTTCCATTATTTTCTCTTCCAATTAAAAAACACGGTGAAATCAAGGATTGTATAAATGTCATGCTTGTAGTAAGTTTTTTTTTAAGCAGTATCAAGTTCTAAGCACACTATTTGAGTTACGTCTAATTGTCTAATTTTTCCCCTCAGTCAACCCTTGTATATTAAAGCTTCAATTTGATTCTATGGATTAGGGAAAACAACATTGAAGTATTGGTAGTTTTGAGCTTTAAGTAATTGTGAGAAAATAAGACTTGACAATGAAATTGAAATAAATCAAATCATTTGATCACTCTTCTAGTGTATGTTATGAAATAAGGTAGATTGATTGATAGATTATGTGTTTAATTTGTGCAGAACATAGCAATATATAGAGATCATAAACATGATAAAATAATGTAAAGAAGATGAACATTTATACGTGGTTTATTCAACATGACCTACTCCATAGGGTAAGGGATGATACCTTCTTATTAAAGTTAATATTATAAATAAAGTTAGAAAATTATAGGAGATATAATATGCTCTCTCCCTCTCAAAGATCTCTCTAATAACTTGAGTTACATGACATCTTGGCTAAAATTCACTTTACTTATGGCTTCACACACTCATCCAATGGCTCCCTATTATAACATGAAAATAAACTAAATTATTCCTCAAGGAATAATTGGCAGTTGTCATGAGCTAATCGTGAAAATAGGAGATCAAACTCACAGCTTAAATGGGAGGTTCGTAATAGCTCAACTTCCTTCTCTTAGGTTTAGACTAGACTGAATGAGATCCCTCACTTGATTTCAAACCACAATTAACCATTATGATCCCTCTGTTGCACCAAAAAACTAAGGGGCCGTTTGGTTCATCTAAGGGAAAGAGAATGACTTAAACAAAGGAAAAGGAGAGGAATAGAATGTAATTCCCTTTGATTAACAATGTTGTTTGTTTTAAATAAGAAAAGGAATCACAACCACCACATAACCACCAATTTACTTCTCTTTCCCTCTTTCTCCGGCCACCATGAAAATCAAACCACCCAGCCACCACCACCGCATCACCTCGGCACGCTCTTCCTTCACCCTTGCCGACTCCTCCCCTCCCCCCTCAAAACCATAACGGTTAGGGTTTTTCGGGGAGGGGGATTTGGGAAGGAGAGGCAGTTCGAGGGGGAAGGGGAGGGGCGGGAAAGGGTGGGGGGAGGTGGCTGGGTGGTTCGGTGGTGGGGTTAGGGTAGAAGGGTGGTGGTGTGGTGGTGGTGTGATAGTGTGGCTAAGGAAAGGGAATGGAAAAACCTTGGGGGGGGGGGTTGGGAATCAACTTGGAAGATTTTAGGGGAATGGAGAGGGTAATGGGAATGAGAAAAACAGCCTAACAAACAACATCAAAGGGAATTAGGGCAGTTGATAGTGACTCCCTTTCCCTTTGATGAATGCCCCCAAACAAACGACCCCTAATTATTTCTCTTAGTACATAGTTTAACATCGAGTAGTGGATATTCTTTATTGTTTTCCAATTGAGGTGAAACAAAGTGGGGACTCTTATACTATAAAAGAGTAGAGATTAGATGAATATAAACTGATAAAGGATGAAAAGATTATGTTATGTGGAGTGTGGACCCAAGTCAAGGAAGAAATGAGAAGTTTTTTGTGGGACAAGCAATATGAGAGAAATGTGTGTTAGACAAGTAAATGTGTGTTTGCTAGATGTGGTTGTTGAAATCACTTATGTGCTAGAGGGAGGGTCGGAGGACCTTGTATGTGGGGGTCAATATGTCCTTGCCACCAAAATCGTCATAAAAGGCTGTTGACCACAAAAAGAAGTTGAAAAACTGAAATCTATAATATCTATATTTATCAATCCAAATTGATCCTGCCTATTATGTATTCAGGTTTGGTCACAAGTTTTGAAGGTACCTTCTTGAAATTGTCTCAGGTGTTAATTTCTCTATCTACTAGACTGCAACAAACTCTAAAAGATCAAACAATGACTATAAAATTAAACTTAGGACTAGTTTGAGACCCTACCCCCATCCCCACCCCCACCCCCCTAAAGATGGGTGAAATTTGGGACTAATATCTATATGCAACCACACGCGCGCATAGAGGCTGCACACACACTCACATACTTGCATGTGTATATTTATACACATCCATATATGTGTGTGCATTTAGACATGGTTGCTTGCTTCTGGGTTCATTAGCACTTAGTTCAATGGATTTACAACCTTTTTAAATGTTGTATTTAGGGTTAAGTGACATAAGTGTTAATGAGTTAGAGGTTGTCTACCTAGAAAGTTGAAACTTCTTTTTGTAATGCTTTTCTTCAGTAGTCTGCTAATTGAATCAGAATTTACTTTTTGAGCATTAATTTTAATACTTCCTTGGTTTTTTTTTGAATCAAATTATGTGGAATTTTACACTATTCACATACACAGACATACTCCTTTTGATCGTCTCTTGTGATTATACGTTGGAAAAAATACTCTTGTGGGATTTTGTTAGATTTGTCTCGAAATATACTTTTTTTAATTTTAAAAAATACAATTTAAGATATTAAAGTCATAAAATGTGCATTGGTGAGCATGAATTCCTCAACGTTGCGATTAAAAAACAACGGAAGAAGTATATAACAAGGTTTAACCTCTTTAATTTTTGCTCATCTCTACTTATAGTTTGTTGCATTCAACAAACTTAAAGATGCAGGAGCAGTTGCAAGTGCTGCTGCTGCAAGGATCTACGGCTTAAATGTACTTGCTGAAGATATACAGGTTTGTAACAACTTCTAGTTAAGCCAACTTTGCGGGATTCTTATGAATGTCTTGGATGACCAATGTTCCTTTTGTAGGATGATTCTGATAATGTTACTAGATTTCTAATGTTAGCAAGGGAACCCATAATTCCGGGAAGTGATAGGCCCTTTAAGGTAAGCCCTTGTTGAAAGTAAAGTTTTAACATTGATCAAACTTTAATAATTACCTTTCTGCTCTTTGCTGTTGACTGCTGAGGGGCCGTTTAGTTGGGGGTATTCAACAAAGGGAATGGGAATCGACGGGAATCATTCCCTTTGTTGTTGTTTGTTAGGCCACTTTTCCAATTCCCTTTACCCCCTTCATTCCCCCAAATCCCTCCAAGTTCATTCCCCACCTTCCCCAAGGTATTTCCATTCCATTCCTTGGCCACCACCACACCACCATACCACCACCCTCCTACCTACCCACATCACCGGAACCACCATCACCGTCGTCACCGTCTTCACCTTCGTCACCATCGTCGTCGCCCTCCCCTCCCCCAAACCACCATCACCGAAACCTCATTCCCCTCCCCTCAAACCACCAACGACACATCACCGGAAACAGCTCCCCTCCCCAAACCCCCTGGCTACCTTCATCACCGTCGTCGTCGCCCTCCCCTCCCCCAAACCACCATCACCGAAACCTCATTCCCCTCCCCTCAAACCACCAATGAATCTGAACGTTGGAGCAATGGGATTGATACGTTGTCGGAGTTAGGGTTTTTTTACGTGGTGGGTAGGAGTCGGAGAAGGGAGAGGGAGCGGCAAGGAGGCCGGGGTTGGTGTCGCCGGCGCAGGGGAGGGGGCTGGGGTGCTGGCAGGGGGTCGCCGGAGGCCTGGGAGTGAGGAAAATTTTAATGAAAGAGATCAACAGTGGTGGTGGTGAATCTAGTGATTCCCATTGTTTTTTTACAACCAAACAACATACTACATTTGAGGGATTTTCATTCCATTCCATTTCATTCCCTTTGTTCATTCCATTCCGTTTACCCCATGCAAACCAAACGGCCCCCGAGTAATTTGCTAATGGAAGTATTATTTTCAACTGTAGACAAGCATTGTTTTCTCTCACACAGAGGGTCCTGGTGCACTTTTTAAGGCTCTAGCTGTTTTTGCTCTGAGACACATTAATCTGACAAAGGTATTTTTATTTTTGTAAAGATTTATGTTTCTTTTAGGTGTCTAGGATAGATAATTGATTGGCTATCTTTTTAAAAAAAAAAAAAAAATCTTTCAGTATGGTTGTGAACACAGTGTGACAGTATGCAGAATGCTCTAGGGTTAATCACTTTATGATGTTAGCTTGGTAATTTATACTCCGTAACATTTTCTTGTGTTGGCTTTCTTGTACCAGATTGAGAGTCGGCCACTGCGAAATAGCAACAATGGTTCTTCGAAGTATATTTTGCAATTTTTTTTTCCCCCCATTTTCTCTTCTGCGTAACAAGTGGAATGACTCGGACATGGATGTGATATAATTGTTGTTTTAACTGTAATTTTATCAGGTGTTTTGACTATCTTTTTTACTTGGATTTTGAAGCGTCTATGGCTGATCCCAATGCGCAAAATGCCCTTAGGCATCTTGGGGTAATGTCTGTTATATCTTTCTCCTAAACGTGGCCATAATTACGTTTTTCTTTTATTTTTATTTTTTTTATTTTTTATTTTTTATTTTTTTAATACATATTAATTTCCAATATGTATCCATCATCTCTCATGGCAGGAATTTGCTACTCTTCTGCGAGTTCTAGGAAGTTATCCAGCAGACACGAGTAGGAGGTGATTGTTGAGTTCTGGTAGGGCTTCATCATTGCGGCAAGCATTGATACTTAAATTACTCTTTTTATGAAATTCTATTCTTGTTCTTGGCCCATACACCGCAATATCCATATATCACTACATGCATCATGAAATCAGCTTCCAAAAATTGCTGGAAAATAAGGAGTGCAACTAGTAGTTTGGCCTTTTGAATTACTGGTGCATCATGTATGAAATTTTGAATTACCAATCTTGAATTATAGCTATGCATGTGGATGTTATTGTTGAAAACATTCCTAACGAACAGCTAGTTAGATTAGGCTGTGTACATCTCAACCTCTTAGAACTCCTCATATCCTTTCCGAGTTGTGTGAGTAACACAATGTGGCAGTCTATTACTGGCATCTTGGGGCTTCATTAGAATAGGTATATATAAATCTACAATGCCTTGGCAATTTATCACCAAAAAACTAGATCATTCACCGTGAACAATAATAAAAGTGATGCTAATCAGATCCTAGAGAGATGTGCAGTGAGTTTTTGTACTCAGCTTTGACTGGTGTTGTACCATGGTAGAAGCCAATAACTTAGCTGATAGGAAAAGGAAAGAAAAAAATTGCAATCATTTGGATGAAACTAATATGATGCACATGGAAAATAGTTTCTCTAATATGGGAACTAGAGATCAAGTTATGTAAGAGAGGTTGATTGAGTAGGGATAGTCCCTTTTTTTTTTTCAAAACAGTTTAGCATGGTGGGGAAGGAGCATTGTAGAATTTAGATGTTTATAGTGAATTAATATGAATGTTAACTGCAACCAACCACCACTGCTTGATGAATTTACTATGAGTGAGGTTTTTTTCCCTTCTTTTTTTTTGGAAGGGGGGTTGGGGTGGGTGGATTAAGTTCTGATTGTTTAAATAAATTGGAGAGGATCAAGATCCAAGAAACATATTATCAACCTTATTGAATTAAGCGTCTTGTAGTATGGAGTACTGACTGTGATGTTCAATTTGATTGTCCAGAGCTGCTGTATACTCCTCTGTTCTGCATTTTATTTCATAATATAAGGATAGGATATAGGTGCGGTCTAGGATGTGGTAGGTGCTTTCTAAAAGACAAGAAATGGTTATTGTAGTAGGATTAGAAACAATTGAAGCCAGATAGATAGAAGGAAAGAAATAAGAGAAAGTAGAGGCTGGAGAGAGAAAAAGTGTTGCTGTGATCTGGGATTGTGAGTATTTAAATCAAAAGAGAGGCAAAACACAAATCAGGTTATTGTGATACCAACTTTGTGGGATGAGTGTTGTTTCTGAAGAACAGTGGCTGAGTTATTCTGACTCCTTGTGCAGTTGTATGATACCCTGGTTTCATTTTCCAATTCTGTCAAAGTCTTTGCAGGGTGGGGGGTGGGGATTGGTTCCTAGTTTTAACCTGTGATGTATGATGCTGTAGTGGTGATTCTTGGTGGAAGCATTATGGATCTATCATTATTGTATAGATTTAAGGATTGCATTGTTTGAGCTCCTTTAGATATATTATCTGTGTTGATGGGTCAATGTTCTTGTTTTAGAGATTTATTATCAAAATTGAGAAGTTACATCATGGATGTCTTGTGACTTTTTAACGAGGCTTAACATCTACGTTGAATCAATATACAGCAATAATGGGCTTTGTGTCAAGTTTCCGCAAACCTAGTCGTGTCAATGATTTGACAAGTCTTCTCAGGAATCATCATTGTGATTTTTAAGAAATGCTATTTGATCAAACTGATACTGATTTCAACCTCTCTCTTTTCTTAGATGCTTGATTTCTAGCCCTTCACTACATCCTTGGTGATGGTGTTGAGCTACAAGAGGTAGCATGTAAAGTGAAGATAGGCTGTTCTCTGTTAAGTTTTTCTAGGATTATCAACCATTTTATTCTTCTAATATATACCATTTTTAGAATTTGTTGGTGTAGGATTTGGAGGCTAACCTTTGATTATAGACTACCAACCTCGAAGAACAACAATTTCTTAAAGTCGTTGAGCGGGTTTGAGGCAGTGATCAGTGAGTATGCAGAAGGAAGATTTAAGTAGAAGGGCCAGGATCTTTGTAATTTATTACATATGATGTTCATCTATGAAACCTGTGGTGACTTTTATTATATCACAAGGATTCAAATGGTATCATGTTTCTACAGTTGGCATGTCTTGACTTATCTAAACAGCCTCTGTATGTCCTGCCCATCTTCTAAAATGGAATTGTGATTGGAAATGGGAGTGATACATATCACAAGTGGATCAAAGATTTGGCGTAATAGTTGTTTGGATTGAAGGAAATGGAGGGAAAAGAAGGGAAGGCAAGGTAAATGGGGAGATAAGAGTATCTTTCATCTGGAAAACAAACGAGGAAGGAAGAGAATTGGAGGGGAGAAAAAGGGAGGGATTAAATTGTGAGAAATTGATCCCAACATTGGAGAGATTTGAAAGAAAAATTCATCATTTGTCCTTCCCTCCCTTCCCTTCTTTTCCTTCTCCTTTATCCAAACACTCTATAAAGGTCTGATGTACTCTTCTTGGTTGTGATGCTCGAGTAGTCTTTCAAATGGATCCTTTTAAGGAAACCGGAGCACATGGAAAGCATGACAAGGACTCTTAAAGAGAGCCAGAGTAAGGTTATTCTGAAAAGCCATATGAATATGATGCTGTTAGGAAACAACTCAAACCGAAGGCTATTTTTCTATTCCCTTTTCACTCATCTTTTTAACAATATAGAGATATAAATCTATTTAAGCGTGTTAAGTGGCATTTATGGCTATACTTGTGACGTCCATGGTGGCTTACATTTTGTTTTTCATTACTTGTTATGAGACTTAAATAGGCAATCTATATTTCTGTTCCTGATCAAGGCTTGAAATTGCCTTGCTTTCAGCGCGTTTTACTCTGATATTAATTTTGATTTAAACCAATGGCCCAATGGATTTGATGTCTTTATGCAATTAGATTTTTTACAACTTTGATGATTTATTAAATAAGGGTACCATTAGGCCATAAAAAGAGATGGTAGGAAAATAATAAAAGAATGATTCTCTAATTGATGGTGTAAATTTGCAAGTTACATAAATTCCAAACTCTGGATATCTGAAATTTTTTAAAGAGATTTAAAACTGACTAATTTCTGGCTGTCCTACTCTTTGATGCAGGTTTTTTTCAAGCTTTCTTGATGCCGTGGCAATGTTTGCCATTGTTGAAATTTTGACTTCCCTGCAATGGGACATGATCCTCTACATATCTTAAAAGAAATGGAGAATCCATTTCTCTAGATGACGGTTGGATTAGCGTGATGAGGAATAGGGCTTTGTTTTTCATAATCTTAAGATCAGAAGTTGAGGAAGGTGGAGGTATATAATGTACCGCGTGCTGGAGCTTATTAAATACGCGCATTTAGTCTGGATGTTATACAATATGAATTCACATTTTGTGGTAATTTCACTAGTTTTGAGATTTCTCGTGTCCATGATTTTTGAATGGTTATATTAATGTTTTAACTTAGGTGCAGATGCTTAAGTAAAACTTTGTGATTAGCAATGGTATTCAATATCCCGGAGAAGAAGGTTTATTAACCTATCACAATACCAAATAAGCACATTATGTACAAAAATCAAATAATATATTGGTACAAAATAAGTAATTTTGGTACAAAAATGTGCATGTTTGGTATTGTGAGTCTGATAGGTTTATTATGGGCCTCGCCTTACTCTCAATATCGTTGCCTTGGCAAGATCTCAATATCCCTGCCTTTGCAAGTTCTAATAAAAGCCACATTTATTCGAACACACAAAGCCACAAAAAAAAATGCCCTAATAAATATCTGTGAATGAGACTTTTGATTTCAAGACCTTGGTGTATTTCATCACTATAATCATCATTGAAAACACTGTAAGTCAGAATAAATTTTAACTGTAACCAAACTGGAAAATTATTATCAGCACAAGCTACACAAAAAATCGTCATTACCAATACCAACTACGTCTATTATAACACCGCCAAGTCAAAATTACCATTTTCATCATAGGAGAAAGAAATACACCAAAAGCTCAAACTCTATGACAGACTGCCACTCTAGTTAAGGCTGTAACAGCATAGCTATAAGAAAATTTCGTGTCCCTAGATCAGAGATAGATTCGAAACACCTCAGTAATAAGATGGATTACAATATCACAACAGTGTGGGTAGCACTGTGCAAATTTTATGGGACAACATACACAACTCCAAACTGTATCAATCGACTCGAAACCAATGAGAGCACAATTTGAAATGTTGAACAGCTGCCAGCCCTGCATGAATGACCCCATAAACTAGCCAGCATCTATAGTTGGGTGGGATGATCAACTAATGCTCGCATTATCATTGCCTCCATATTTCCTTCCTCAATCCACTTCCCACTTTGCCTATGGATAAGTTCCTTTTTACTGTTCTTTTTTTCCTCTATTGATTTTTCTCTCATTCTCCAGTAATCAAGCTTCTCTGTTCTTTCTTTCATCTACAGAAGTTCAAGTCTAAAATTAGATAAATAAAATACAGTTAAACACATTCGACAAAGAATTATCAAGTCAGTTGAACGATAACAAGCTAGGTAGAAGAATATACATCCACCTAATCAATCCCTCAATTCAATTTTCATTGAATGCAATTCAAATACAGAATGCAATGCTTGTGTAATTTATTGAAAATGAGACCACCAATATGATAAATAGATTACTCATACAGGTTTTAAGGAACTATAATGCACAACTACTCTCTTACTCTCTATGTGAACATGCTTCAATGTTGACAACATTTTATTTCACTCTGGTCTATCCATCAATCATGGTGGAACTTACTTTTGCCTAGTGGAAAGCAACTTCTAGTTATAGAAATTCATCACTGTACTTGCAAACGGGGCCATTTAACTAGCAACAAAACTGAGATGGAACATGTAGCTCTTTTTTCTTTACCATCTTAGGAAGTATCACGAGAACTTTCATGCATCAAAAAATGATCTATTACATGAAACTAAACAAAGTTTAACAGTAAACTTCATACACCAACATTCAAACTTCTGGTTATGGAAAACAACTAACTTTAGATTGAAGAAGTCTTCATATCATAAAAGCGTTCTCATGATTCATGAATGTCACTTTTACCATCCAACTTATTGTTATTATCTTTTGATTAGCTAGCAATGATGCTAGGATCTTTAAACTCATTAGAAGCTTGTATATACATTAAATCATGATACTAAGTAACAACATATAAGGGTATATCTTTAAACCTGTTAATTTAGTATATAGATTGAGAGTATAGTATAAATAAGCATTGGCTTGTAAATTATGGTTGTTTCCCACATTAAACACTTTGACCTAGATTAACAAGAGAACCTTTCACCCTTTTTTTTTTTTTTTTTTTTTTTTTAGAAAACCCTTCAAAAAATTTCCACTATAATCATTAATTGTTTTCAAATAATCTAATCCATTACTCTGTTTTGCTTCCTTTAAAAAGCCAAAGTTCATGGGTAGGCTGACATGGTAAAGCCAAAGTTCTCAGAAAGCAATCCATCATCAATACATTTAAACGAAATCCAATGACTACAATTTTTAGTATCACTACAAGAAACAGATCAATGACCTCACAAACATTGTTTTCAAAGATAGGTAGCCTAAATTTTCAACTCAGTCTAAAACATCTTCTACTGTGCTAAGGTGACCAACACCTCCAACTTCATGTTCTCCTTCAAGTCTTCAACCCTTTTCTGTAATCTTTACAATTCTAGGTTTTAAAGGTCTAGCAAATGACATATGAAGGGTTTTACCTTAGACCTTAAATGGATTGCTCGCTGCAATGTCATTGCCTCATTGGGTAGAATGTTCACTTTACTTATGAAGGGGGTTGCTAACAGATTGCTCGTTGCTATGTTATTGAGGTGTAGTGACGGTCATATCACATTAAATATTATGGGTTAATAACCATGATTAGACCTTACAGTCTACTTGAGCACTGTTCCAACCAATTAGATCCAGCATGAACCTTGGAGAGCCTAAGCTGAAAGTCAAGGATTAGAATTAAAAACACAAATAACTGAAGTTTTCATAACTACATCACAAGTTACCTGTACATCCCAAGGAAGCATGTATCAAACTGATTATATCTGCCCTAGTAGTATGAGTAGTAATTTTTACGAAATTTTAACCTAAGCTACTCTGTATTAGATTTCAAACATGTTTATCAAAACCCATACTTAAAATATAGAGTCCAAATCCATAGTCTCTACTCCCTAGCTATGTTTTCCTATTTTGTCATTCGCTTACATTCATTCAATTCATTTGTGCAACAACAATACCAAATAAAATTTTGTTACCATATTTACGCTGCTTGGCAAATTAAGTAATCAAACCTTTAAAACCCATCATTGAGGTCTTGTACCATTTCAACACATTCACATAATCATAGAAAACCAATGATGATACTCTGATTTTCACGGCATTTTCACATCACTAACCTAAAATTCATCCTCAAAATCATAGAAACACAGTGATGATCCTCCCAATTTAAAGGCATTTCTGCATCATTAACCTAAAAATCATAGAAAAATAGTGATGATACTTCCATTTTCACATCACTAACCTAAAATTCATCCTCAAAATCATAGGAAAACGGTGATGATCCTCCTAATTTCACAACATTTTCTTATCACTAACCTAAAAATCGTCCTCAAAAAACAATTCCCCAACAATCAATTAAATCAATAACACACAAAACCCTAATTCTCACACCTAAAATTCCAAAACAACAAAAATCACAACACAATCAAGGAGACTAAGAACCAAACAACATTACCAAAGTATTGCGAAACTCCTCCTCGAAAGCCTTACGCTCGGCAGCACGAGCCTGAGTAGCAGCAGCCTTAGACTTATTCCGCTTTTCCCTTTGCTGAAGAATCTCAGCTTTCCGTGCTTCATCTTTGCGTAGCTGCTCCTCTCTCTGCAACTCCATCTCATGGATATACTCCTTGCAAGGCTCCTTGACTTGCTTAGCATAGTCGCGGCGAAGGAAGGCGAGTTTGGCTTGTGCTTCCTTAGGGTTTTTCGGGGGTTCCCAGCTTCCATACTTGGTTTTGGCTATGCTCTTTGTGATGCGATGGTTCGGCAGCGGTGGTGGTGGAGAGAGTGGAGGAATGGCGGAAAATGGTGGTGATGTGGTGGTTGGAGTGCCGGGCTTTGAGTAGCGATGCTGCCATTTTTGGTTGATGTTGGTGGGAGAGTGTCGATGAGAGGAGGAATTGATAGGGAAAATTTAACTAAAGCCACTACTCCGTACTAGAGCTGTCAAAAGCTGACTCGATCCGAACCCGATTATTAACCGAATCGTCTAGACCCGGAAAAATGATAACCCGAACACGATATGATCCGGCCTGAAACCAACTCTATACCCGAGTTAACCCGAGTATTTGAGACCCGAACCCGAACATGAATCGACCTGCTGAGATGACCCGACCCGAATATAACCCGTAAAATATTGACTTGAACCGAACCCGACCTGAACCAAAATTGACCCAAACCCATTTTAACCCGTCAAAACCTGAATTTAACCCGACCTGTTCCTAACCCGACCCGAATTTAACCCGACCTATTATTAACCCGACCCGAATTTAACTCGACCTATGACTAACCCGACCCGAAATTCAACCCGATTTGTCACTAACCCGACCCGAAATCAACCCGACTTGTTATTGACCCGAAATTAACTAGCAATCTAAGATTACGTCATATCTTTTTTTTTCCCCCTTAATTCTATGAGTTATTTTCCTATTTAAGCTTATTCAAATATTTTCAATAAAATTCTCTATTATCAAATGTATTACAATTATATGTCTCAGAAAAACCTGTAAAACTTTATGAATACCACTACTTTTTGGATGCATGTGCATTCTTTATTTAAATTTAGTAATTACGATTTACAAACACTACTACTTTTAAGTGCAAGTTCATTCTATATTTCAATTAAGCAATTATGGTTTACGAATACTACTACTTTGTAGGTGCATGTGCATTAATGTAGTCAATTACGGTTTACCTATACTATTTGACCTTAGGCACGTTTGTTTTATCTTATATTTTATAAAAAAAAAAAAAAAAAAAAATCAAATAAAAAAAAAGTTAAAAAAAATAATAATTTCGGATAATGATTGAATGCGAGCATGAGTATATGACAATGACTCGATGATAATCTGACCCAAATAATTTACCTGTACCCGATCATGACTTGACTTGTCTGGACTCGAGAAAGTGGTGACCCGAACTAGAGTTGTTAAAAGGCTTTAATTGGTCTTTTATTTTTCTTATTTTATTATTCATTTGCCTATTTAATCTTATCTAAATGTTTTGAATAATGCCATTTAAATGTTTAAAAAAAATGCCATTAAAAAAAACGTGAACTCGGATATGAACTTATAAAAAATAAACAAGTTTAGATAATTTTAAATAAAATAAGTTTAGAAAAAAATTTATTGTATTTTAACTTATCTAAACTAAACCTATTTTATCCGAATTTATATGAACTTATTGTATTTTATCTAAACATGTCATCTCGAATATGAACTTAGCTGAAATTGTTATCCCTAAAATGAGTGGAATCAATGTGAATAGATTAGAATAGGGTTTGAACTTATCTTCTAAAAATCTAAACTAAACCTATCTTATTGGAATTTATATGAACGTATTATGTAGATCTAATCTAAACTTATTAGAACTTATTACCTCGAATTTAAACTTATCTGAAATTATTTCTCTTACAATAAATGAAGTAATTGATAATGATTAAACGTGAATGTAATTACATGAACTGTTAACAAACCGACCCAAAAAATGTATCCAAACCTGATATGACCTGACCTGAAATCAACCCGATACCCAGATTAACCCAATATTTGAGACTCGAACCCGAACATGACCTGACTTGGAAATGATCCGACTTGATTATAACCTGCAATTTTTTGACTTGAACCAAACCCGACTTGAACCCGAAGATGACCCGAATCGTAAATGACCCGACCTGATTGTCCCGCAAATAATTGACTTGAACCGAACCCGACTTGAACCCGAGAATGACCCGACTTGGAAATGACCTGACCTGATTATAACCTGCAAATTATTGACTTGAACCGAACATGACTCAAAACCCGAGAATCACTCGACCTGATTATAACCCGCAAATTATTGACTAGAACCGAACCCGACTCGAACCTGAGAATGACCCTAACTCGTTTTAACTCAACCCTTATTCACCCGACCCGAATGTAACCCGACCTGTTATTAACCCGACCTAAACCCGACAAGATGTATGACCTGACGTTACCCGACTCAAGCATGACCCAACCCGAACCCGACCCGTATAGGTTATGACATTAACCCGAAATGATCCGACCCGAGTTGACCCGACCCACACTTACCCAATCCAAACGCGATCTGTTTACCCCCAAATGACAGTTGTACTCCATACTACAAGGATAAAGAACTTCAGGTTCGTTCTGCACGTTTTTAATTACACTCAAATAGCATTATTTCTTCTTGAAAGCACTTCAAAATTAATAAAACTTGTATTGGCAAACTAAATAAACACCTATCTTTGCTACAAACTTGCACACTATCATGTATAGACTACATAACATAAAATGAGCACTATAATCATGACCATTTTACTAAAGTAATGGAAAATTGTCAAATGTTTTGGAAATTAATTGCTAGTTCACGCTGCCCCATATAATCATTACATAATGAAGAAATGGAAATACAAATGGCAAGATCCATAACTAATCCATCTTACACTGAAATCAAAACAGACCATAACATATTCATCTTATCATATTGAAATTCTAATTTTAAAATTGTGAAAATACAAATGGCAGGATCTAGTAAGTAATGGATGCAAGCTCGTCCCAGAGCCAGGGCAGGAGAGGCAACCTCCCTGGGCCAGGGAGAAGAAGTTTAATTTCATAGTTCAATCCTAAGTTCCTAACATTAAAGGGTTGTGCAATACATTAGCAACCAAATTGATTCAATTATCTCGAAAAATCACATAATTTTAGGGATATGTGATTCAATTATCAAATTAGGCTCATAATTTTGTTTTATAACAACACAATCGCTGGTTATGATCTTTCATAATCTTAGTATTTAGAACCGATAGTTCAGATTTTCAAACCCTACACTTACTGCAGTGACAATTAAATTAAATTCAATTAAATCCTAGATTGTCAAAAAGTGATGAATAAGAGATTACAAAATTGCCCAATTTCAGAAAAAATTCAACCCACAAACTCTATCATACGATATACGGTTAATTGAAAAAAGGCAAACTAATGCTCCAGAATTAACACGATGATTGTTTCCAAATTTCATAGTTCAATGCTAAACATAAAAGGGTTGTGCAATACATTAGCAACCAACTTTGATTCAATTATCAAATTAGGCTCATAATTTTCATTTCGTAATCTTAGTATTTAGTTGAGATTTTCGAACCCTACACTTATTGCACTGACTATTAAACCCTAGATTGTGAAATTGAAATGATGATTACAAAAAGAAACAACAGCTTACCTCAGAAGTTGCTTCAATGGGGGATACAAGTATTCGATGGAGAACGTCAAGTGCGATGTTGAGTGCGCTTCAATGGAGAAGGAGGAGGAGGGCAGGGCTATGTTCTTCCGTGTTTATGTCTTCTAATTTGCAGAGCCATTAATAAAAGCCCCAGTTATAAATGCGTCAGATCCGTCCAATAAATTAATGGGGCTGGGTCATTACAATCGTCCAACTATAAGGATTTTACATTAGAAATAAACCTCCTATCAATTTCGCTTCTACACTTCTTTTTTCTCAAATATCATTTTCACGAGAAAATAAAAGTTAATATCCTATATTAATAAAGTTTGTTTATATCAAGGTATAAATGTCATTTTCACAAATTATTAAGGGATAGTGTTGGAAATTCCCCAACATTAAATCTTCAACCTTCTACTACAATGGAGGTGACTGTGAGTATCCACCGCCACAACCACCACCACACCCACAACCCTTTATCAAGATTTCCCATCGAACCACCAAAAAGGATGTAATTGTACCTTCTTTAAACATGCTCTGAGCAATTTCATCAATAATCGAACCCAGCACAGAGCTCTTCAAGCTTGATTTTTGTCAAATTGAAAATCAACAAAGCTCCATTCTTATAGCCCAAGTACTGTGGGAAAATACCTACCATTTTGGGTTAACCATTCCCCTAATTTATGTATTAATTGTTAGGGTTTTCTTTAAATTTGGCGGCGAAGCCGCCGTCTTGCCGATATTCATGGAAGAAGGGGATTGTTGGTGGCGTTCATGGAGGTGTGCTGATGGTGTTTAGATTATTCATGTAAGTGTGGTGATGGTGGTGTACTGGTTTGCTATTGTGTTGCTGTTGCGCTAAGAGGAAGAAGATGAAATTAAAAAAAAATCTTTTTATTGTTGATATTAACATAAGTTGTTAATATAGGATATTAATCGGGTCTAGCTCCATTTTCATACACCAAATCTTGTATTGATTGTATGTAAAACTGTCAATTTTCTACCTGACTTGATCCCAACCCATTTGTGGGTCTGTAATAAGTTTGTTTAACTTGACACCCGATTTAACTTGAACCCGTTTAACCCATAAATTTGCGGGTCAAACCCATCTCGAACCCGAACTTGACCCGCCAACCCGTATTGATAGGTTATTATTCTTTTTTTTTAAAAAAAAATACACTTATTTCTTATTTATTGATTGAGTTTGATCTTCTGCCTACCATCCAACATTCATTTCTCTCTTCAATTATCTATCTCATATAACTCTTGCTCAAATCCACACCAACCACCTCCTACACCAACTATCGACCCACACCAATTGCATGCGCACAACCTACATCACCGTCATGCCACCGACCTACACCGACCGCTATTAGATGGTTTTTAGTTTGAATTTTGAATAGCCGACGTCTTTCACATTATATCTTTATTTTGTAAGTAAAGGTTGAATTGTATTACATTAATAAACTTTGTTAGTTGAGATGAACTTATAAAATAGGGGGGGGGGTGAATTGTATAAGGTTCCTAATGGCACTTTTTCGCGGAAATATAAAACAGAATATTAAAGGAACTTGCAAAGCACACAAGATTTTACGAGGGAACCTTCCAGGGCCTAACTGGAAGTAAAACCTCAACCCTCCAAGGGATTTCAAACCAAACCAATACACTATAATAGGCCAAACACTCCTAGTTACAAGCTATTACAATCAGACCTTTCTCACAAGTTCCTAACTGAAGTTAGTTGCTACATAGTAGAACCATATTCTACTGATATGTCCATTTTATATAGTGATTTACCCCCGTCCCTTGGTCATATTTAGGAGTATTTTGGCTCTACGGAGCTATTTTTAATACTAATATGCGTTTTCTAGTGTTTTCGTAGCTTTGGTATTGTTTTACAGGAAATTGCAGATTTGGAGCATTTTCCCGGACTTATTTGGACCACTACGACATTGGATAAGGATCGCATTCATATGACCACATTCCGTAGCCCAAGATTGCGTTGGAGTAATCAAACCGGTGATTAAAGGCTCGACGAAGAAGAAGAGACCGAGGCAATGGACCGAGTCTTAAAGACCCAAAGAGGAAATCCGAATTGGACTAAGAAGGAGCCCAATCGATAGTCCATGGAGCCCGGAAGCTCGCCCGATCGGGGAGTGCCCTCGCCCTGAGGCGCGCCCGGCTGGGCGAGGAAGAAAGGAAGAAGTAGCTCCCACCTGGAGGCGCGCCCTACCGGGCGTGAGAAGGGGAGCTCTCTAGCCGAAGGCGTGCCCAGCCAGGCGGTCAGGCTCCCGACCGGGCGCATGTTATTGAAGGCTGATTAAGATGTTTTTACTTTGTTTTGATTTAGGATCTTCTAGCTTTAGTATAAATACGCTTTTGTTAAGCGAAACAATTACGTCATTCATTAGATAATTTTCCAGATTTTAGTTTTAAGATTTTGATTAATACTCTTGTTCTCTCAACACTTTTTATGCAATTCATTACTTCCATTTACTTTTGGTAACGATTTCTTTCCCTTTTATTTCCAGTAATTTAATTGCTTTGATTAACCATGTCTTGCTTTATTGCTTTGCTTAGTTTAGATTTTAATATGTGTGAGTAGTTTATTTCTAGGGTTCGTGGGGATCCATAAATAATATGAAGGAGTAATTTATTATTGTTGATTGTCAATGCTTGATTAATTTGCTATTGATTGATTCAATGCTATGCAATTAGATTAGGCCTGGTTTAATTGTATGAGTTATGCAATATTGTTTCGAGATTCGACAGATGAGAATTGATGTTTAGGCTTAGTTTCAATAGGCAGGTTAATTTATAAATGGTTAAGTCAAGATTCGAGAGATGCAATTAAATACCGCTAGATTAATTCTGTGATTGTAATACGTAGCGAAAGCCCTTTATGATCTGATTAATTCATGCATTGATAGTTGATTGTTATGCTTTACCCTGGAATATTATTTATTGGTGAACCTATACCCTAGGCTTTGATTTATTGATTTCCCCTTAATTTTATTTTCTTTAGTTTATTTATTCTCCTTAGTTTAATTCTCACAAAAACAACTTGGTTACTTGATAATTTAGATTATATTAATTATTTAGGAATAGAAAGACATTGTTTCGTTGTGGATTCAACCCTACTTCCCTATCTGCTTAGGTTGGAGGACTTAGGTAATTTTTTTGATTAGATGATACGACTAGAACTTGTCATCTACCCAACCTAAATCCCGGACTTAGATTCTCTCAGTGCTCCCGGAGCACTAATCATTCAGCTTCAACCTTGAAGCCTATCTCAGTTTATGCAATATACTAATCACTCACCCAATACCAAAACAATACTAACTCTTAACTCTAATATGTGATTGGAAAGCTACACATGAAATCCGAAACTAATATGACAAAGCTTTGAACTTGGCAAACTTACACTTAAGCACTCTTCAGATTTTTTACGCATAAACTCACAAGTTGTTTCAATTAAGATCTCTCCTTTATATACAAGAAGTACTTGTATGTAAAGTAGGTTTTCAAAAGATAGAAATTATAAAACTGTCGTTTATCAAAACCCTTCGTAACATAAATCTTTAGAAGAAAATCTTTCGGAAAACTTAACAAAGATATAATTTAGAAAAGATTATTATTTTGCAAAACTAGATTTTATAAATAAAATCTCTTAAAGATATTTTCTTAAATTAAACTTATCTTTTATAAAACTTTCCATATTTAAACGTTTACCAAGCTTTGCCACGCTTCTAATAAATTTCATGCATAAACTTACCAAACATATTTACAACAATCCTAGTAAAAATAAACTTAACAAAAACCTAAGACTTTTAGTCTATTGCTGGATTGTTTCCTCAATCGTTGTATTATAAGGATACTTAGGCTCTATGCAGACCAAGACTGAGCTCCCGCAGTCTTCAGCTCTCCAGCTCCTTGTTGGAACTCGCAGACCAAGTTCTTGTGGAACTTGCTGTCTTCAACGCAGTCCAAGCTAGTCTTCTTAGCTTGCTGTCAAGCTCCTGTTAGGGAACTTCTTCTTCATGTTCCTGCTAGGGACCACTTCTAGTTCCAAAGAGGAACTCTTCTTCTATTCTTTTTATCTTCCCTTAACTTCTCCTTGGATCTTCATAGGCAAGCTACTCTTCCACTTTCAAAGTCAACTTCAGCTGTTCTAATTAAATACTTAGAGAAAACGCATTAGTTATTGAAGTTTGCTTTCCCTAATCATCATCAAAACTAGTTAAGGTTCAACAAACTTTACATAGTACTTTATATATATGACAAAAATAGTTAATGGAGATAACACAATGCTTAAAGTTTTATCTATTAACTATTAGTAAAACAAAACATTGCTGAGATCATCAATCCTAAAACTGTCTTACGTGTCATTCATTCTCACATTAAAATTTTTCCCTCCAATTCTATGTGTGATCACTACTAGAAAAAGGTCAATTTCCGATGGACACAAAAATCTGTCGGAAAAAACGAATTTTCCGATGGATTTAATTCCGTCGGAAATTTCTGACAAATTTAGATTTTCCGTCGGAAATTTCCGACGGAATTTAAAACCATCAGAAAATACTTAGTTTCCGACGGAAAATTCAAATCCGTAGGTGTAACACCCCCAAATCTCCCTCTACGTAAATACTATATTTATACGTATAAAATATCGTAGAGATAGACTTGGGCGTATCACCGCCACGTGAAAACGTAAGGCTTACTTAACTACTAAAAATGACAGCGGAAAATAACTGACTTTTATTAATATTATAATAACCATAACATATAGTTCAAAAATACTCCAAATAAAACATGTCTGACTTATGAATGAGTAAATTCCTAGCTAGGTGATCCCAATCCCGACACAAGTATGCGTACGATCAACTCCACAACTGAAATCAAAATTGTTTACCAATAATGGTAAACAGGGCGAACCAAAACAATAAGGAAAACAGATTAGCAAAAACGCTAAGTACACATAAGTGCAAGGCATGTAAATGTATTTATTAGAAAAATATGCTTTCGAAATAATTATTCCAATTCAAACTTGCCAAAGGTCACTTTCCAAAATTTGACTTTCCAAATTTAAACCTTCCAAAAGTAGTAATATCCATTAATGGAAACTTTCCAGACCAACAAATTTCCAATTTTTTTTTGAACAAATTTCCAAAACCAATTTTCTTCACCTAAGTGTGCACACACCCCCAAGCAAGTTAAACTATACTCGAGGAAAGACCAGATCATACAAAGTTCACGGTCTTACTTAACCAGTCCCGGGTAAAGGGACAATTAAAATAATAAATACTCAAGCCCATAAGGAGCTACAAGTTTAAATTAATTCTTTTATTCAATAGCTTGAAATTCGGTGATCCATAAACAACTTTTATTAAGTTACTACACTTTTAAAGATCAATCCTTTAAATCATAATATATTTTAACTCAACATGAAAACCATTTACTTAAATCTTGCATACGCAACATTTATTCAAACAATCATTAAAATAACATTTACCAAAACATGCATTCAAGGACCTAGCCACCCTATACGTACCTTGATCACGAGAACAATTAAGGTACGATCACTAAACTTGACCACGATCGAGGGACTCCTCCTACACAATTAAAATAACCTTAATTAATATAAGGTTAACAAATAAACAATCAACAAGACCATACGACTCTATTGGTGCATGAATTACCAAACCATTAAACTTTGTTTTAATTCATAACAATAATTAACTTCGTTTTATAATTATAATCATAATAATAATTCATTAAGTATTATTAACATTGTATTTTGGTCAAACGAACATGATATATGGTGTATGTAGTACGTACTATGCATGCAAGAAAATAATTTTTTTTTTTAGTAACAATTATGAAGCATGCAA